ATTTATAAAAGTTGAAATTATAAATTTTTATATTTAATTTTAAAAAATTGAATTTGTTTATTAATTATTTTTTTAAATAAAGGATTAAAGTTCATAATTTTGTTATATAAATATGTTTTATTGTACAAAAAAGGTAAATAAATATTGATTTTTTTCGACGTTTGTCGCACTGTTTTGTCTCATTTAAGTATTAATTAATTTTTAACGTTATATCTTGTATACTATAGTATATAATATAATAACCTTATAATACTTTGCACTGTAGTATATCAGTGTTGTAATTAGGAAGATGCAACAAGTGCATAGGTACAGCACCCAGGAGGAAAAGGGTCCTCGAAATGGAACCGACACTTTCCTCGTAGTATATTCTACCTACTATAGTATACAAATTATACTGTAGTGGATGTACTAAATTACAGTTTAATATTATGTATTATATATATTGTATATTACACTGTATGTACGTACGAGTATATTGTGCGTGTTTAAATAATATAAATATATTTGTAACATTATACGTTTTATATTATGGTATTATACTATTGGTATACAAAGTATAATGTTAAAAAATGATTTATATAATTAAACTATAATATATAGTTTTGGAATAGCTGCACACGAGTAACTTTATAGAAAGGAAAATATTAACTGTAGAAAATGACAGGAATTAAGATAGAAATATAGTTATGAACTCAGTAAATTAGATGTAGTAGTTAGTATATCAGCTATAGAAATGATTATATACTGTTATTTTGTATTTCTTCGATAGAAATTAGTTATAATTGTTTGCAATTTACATACATCTCGTATTATTTTTAGTGCCTCTGAACTTTAGCAGAACTGTATAATTTATAGCTCCCTGTTAATATATAACAGAGGTCATAAATATACAGTTTACTAATAAATAATCCAATTAACTGTAAAAATATATTGTTCACTCGATAATTAATTATTCATTATGTTTGTAAAAAAGCTTGAATCAGTTTAAAGCTGACCTCGATATATTTAACGAAAATCGAAAGTAGTCAACCCGTTTGTCTATATTTTTCATACTAAAATATTTATGCAACCCAACTAAGTCGTAATATATATTTTGTTCATTTTGTGTTTTCGTAGTAACCATGACGATAGGTGATGTCCAACGAAGCGAACATCCAAATTTTTCGGTTAGAAAAACCAATTTTATTTGTTGTCATTCTAAAATCTCTCATCGTATTACTGTAAGTATTTATACTTTCAATTGGATATTTCATTCTTTTATTCGCAACGTTGTGAGATTTTCTTTATCTGATAAGTTTAAATGAGCATTTATGTGTTGTATTAAGTTTTAAAATATTTTTTACTAATATTTAGAAGCGCAAACGGAATTAAAGCGGTAATTGAATTGATAGAATAAGGCAACGGGGATTGAATCCGGGAGAAACTAATCCCTATTTAGGTGTTAATTCAAAATCATGCAGAGCCGACAAATGATAGAATAGATAGAACCACTGAACACTGATTGCGGGTTTGAGCCTTGGGATGGAATTTTCCGGGTTTTCTTCACGTGTCTAACACTTAAATAGGGATCAACTTCCTAAAAAAAGTTCTCCCGGAAAGAAGATAGCACACTTTGCGGTATCTCATCAAATCAAACCAAATCAAAATCATGGGATTTATGGAGTTTTAACCGATCCGACCCCTCGTAATCTTTCCTGAGAAATTTCAATCGGAGTTCCAATCTCGTTTCGTCACTCATATTGGCCCGTTTCACCAAGATTGGGCAATAGCAAAATTGAAGCCGACAGCCCATTGTCTGGTAGAATCTCGACAAAGTTAATTCAACATTATTTCGAGCAAAAGATGATCGTGTCTCTTGTTTCCAGTACACAAAGTTGGCTTCATAAATATTAGGCTAATTTATCTCGATAATATTGTATTATTATTCTGTTTAGCAAAACACTAATTTATTTCCGACGGAAATATTTAATTCTAAATTTTAACGAATAAATATAATTGTCTTTTTATTAATAATGCAAATATTGATATTTTTTTTCAGATATTTTACTATGACCATCGAAACGCACATAATTATCTCAATCATATTCCTCACCGTAGGATCTATAATGGTGTTGACTGGAGTGGTTCTCTGTTGCTGGACTAAGCCAGTTCTGTACGCTAGAGGACAGCTTTACGATAGATTGGTGACGTCGGTGCTTCCTCCACCTTCGCCCGACATTCCACCTCTGTTTCCACCCGCACCATCTCCCACTAATTCGGAAATGATGTACTACAGCCCGACTTGGGAAGGAATTAAAATTTATAAAGGTCGGTGGGATTGAAACATTGAATGGTGAATCACAGTGCACATTGTTCAACGATATAAATTCATCAGCGCTTAGTATCAACCGCAGTGGAGACGATTCATCGTATTCCCTTTATTTATAGGCATTCCGATGCTTCACCCTCTCTCTATTCTTTAATTTATGGCGCCTAAGTTAAATTTAAATTACAGATAAACTTTATGTAGATATTTAAGTAAAGAATCATTTCATTAAAATCTGTCATACTTTTAAAGTTTTAATAGGTATAATTTTTATGATGTTTTTTAAGTGTAAATTTAATGTTGAATTTTCGATTCTAAGATATTTTGTCTTAAACAGTTAACGATTTTAGCACAAAATTTTCTTCAAAAATTTGTCTCGATAAGTGGCGTGTTATCCTTTGGGCAAAGAGGGCAATTGCCTGGAGCGCCCATTAACTGGGGACTCCAAACTAATCTTTTATAAGAAAATATTTTATCAAAAAAATTTCCCCGAAGAAAAATGTCCGAAGTCAACTCTACAATGGGACCCCTAATTCAAATTTACCTGGGCTCCGTGAAGCTATAACGCGCGCACTAGTCTCGGTACTTCAGAGGATTTAGGCCTATACTATGGACGAAGAAATTTTATAGTAATTGGGGGTTAAATTTCTAAAAATATTGTTTCACATTTCAGTTCTATCCTACTGTATGTTTGGGGATCGACTTTTACGGCTTGTATAAACGCCGGTTTGTTCTCACGAGAACGGAAACGGAAGAAAAAACAATTCTAAGTAGGCTTAGTAAAACAATACTTCATTCATTATTAGTGACATATTTCCGTTCTCTTTTGGTCAGAGAGAAAAGTTGACAGAAGTTCTACTTTTTTCTTTGTAGGTAGCCGAACAATCCTTCGCGCCCGTCAATGTGGAGACTGATAAAATCGAAATGATTAGAATTAGAACAGAATTATCTTTAATGAACCGTAATTAATCATTTATATATTTTAAGTTAAACCAGTCCGAATAGCAAATTTATAATCTTTATAAGAACTCTATACATACAGTGATACTGTTATAAAATGCCTAATATTAATAAAATTGAAGACAGTCTGCCCAATAAAGGACCACCATTTATTATTTCCGTGTTCCAGACAATACACATTGTCTGGAACACGGAAACAATAAATGGTGGTCCTTTATTGGGCAGACTGTCTTCAATTTTATTAAAAAATAATCTCCATCGGACGAAAAATTTACAAATGTCTAATAGTTAAAAACAGAAAAAAAAAAGCAATAAGGATCAATACAAGGCACTTTTAGTAGGACCAAGATGAGAATGAAACGCTACTTCACAAGACCTAGACAAGATCGAGATATTACAAAGAGGTCTTGAGACGAGACCAAAATGATACGAAGGGCCATATTCTGGTCACCGTCTCTGGTCTCTTGTCTCTCACAAGCCGGTCGCTGATTGGTTAATCCAAATGAATAGCCAATCAGCGACCAGATTGCGAGAGACAAGAGACCAGAATACGGCCCCAGGCGCTGTCGTCCGGAGTTACGACCACCACCCGTTTGACGTCGGGTGTGTGCCTCGTCCGCATCTTTCGGAAGCACCCTTATGACACCAGGCCAAGACCGGGCGCCAACCTGGAAATCGGCACGGCCCGAGATGCGCCACTTCTTTAATTCTTTGAAATTTTCCATTCTGCGAGGAAAATGAGCGAATGTTGTAAAAACAGAACTCGCATTAATTCAGAAATATTCCTATTCTAATGCGAATTGTAAATTTCGAATGCAGAAATGATTGTTTTAATTTCTTGAATATTATAATGAAATTTCTATTTATTATATATAATAATTTTAATGTTCGATAGAGAAATTATTTATAAAAGATTGTAATATTCTGTTGACTGCCGTAACACAAAACGTGTGAAAATAGAGGAAAGGACACGAATGAACTCGAATTATTTAAATTAAGATTCAGACGAATTTCATACGTGATATTAATGTATATACGTATATAATAATACAGCGGGAAATAACAGATTTAAAGTAGGCTATTTATTAATATTAATTTTGCTTTAAGAATTTCATTGAAAAATTAAGATAAGATTCAAACTCCGAACGAGGGGCTTGCGATCTCCCAAAAGTGTAGACCGCCACTAATTGTGATATTTTGCTTGTCAAAATTAAAAAGTATTTAAATCTAGAAAGATCGTAATCTCGACTTACTTAAATAATCGCTACAACCGAAGCAGAACTGGAAAAAGCGCTTGAAAATAAAAAACTGCACGAGTCAACAATAAATTCTCTCTCAACAACGAGAAAATTTTATTGTTGCGTAGCCACTCAATGCCGGCGAATTTCGTGCCTCTGTATTTCTAAAGAGTGGCATTTCGACGGATCATTGCACCAGTTTATTTCGAGCCTTCAACTCGAATAAATTGTTAAATTAAATAATAGCTAGGGGAGCCCCTAGCTATTATTTAATTTAACAATTCAATTTTTTGCGTAACAATATTAAAATAACAATAAATGCGGTGTTTTGCGTTTTAATTCAGTATATTATTATTTTTATTTGTAACATTAATTTATTATTTATACCACGGAATGACACCGCTGTTGCTAGAACGCTCACTAGGGGGCGTCCCAGGCTACTAGTATCCCCGCGTTTCTTTATGCAGCAAGAGTGTAGCGAAATGACGTCACCAGCAGTGTTGGCCATTTAGAAACCAGTTTCAGTGTGTTCGATGTAAAGCGCTTATCGAGAGCTGCATAAAGAAACGCGAGGTATACAAGAGCTTGATTATCATCGCATTATATAAGAAATTTTACTTTATTTCTCTGTTTTTTACCATTAGAACATAAAATGTATGCTTTCCACCCGAAACTAGTAGGGTGTTACTCCTGTACATCATACTTTTCCGTTGGCGATAGAGTCGTGCGGGGTATTATTTAACTCCTTTCGGGGGAACATTTTCGAATTGAAATAACGTGACTTCCGGACGTTCCTATATCCGGAAGTTAATCGGGGCCTCCGGCCTAATCTTTCCATATCTGTTCTCGACTTTCATCTATCTAACTCTTGATTAAAATTGTTCCTGAGATTAAAAAACAGACAAAATTTATAGGTCTACAATTTTTTCTAATTGCAGTCCAAACAGGAAAAGTATAAAAAATGATATGATTGTTTCCTAGTAAACATTGTTGTTGTTGTTGAAAAATTGTTTGAAAAATGTTTCAATAATGATATACGAGTGTATATATATACATATGGTATAATCAGAGCCGTGGCAATGTTTTTGGTGCACCAGACAATACGTTAGTTTTTACTCCACTATAGAATAAACGTTTTATCTATTTCGGATCGGTGGTCCACTTACGTTACAGTGACGTCACTGCTCGACCAGGGAATTTCCCTTAAGTTGCATTTTTAAATATTTTGCAGATGGCGTATTTTAAACTTATTTCATTAAATTTAAATTTTAAAAAAGCCGCGTGGTGTCGCTTTTGCAAAAATAAAATTAAAAAAATACTACTACTTTGGTCCACAAGTGGTCAAACGGTTCTATTCCTTGAACACTTGGAGTTCGGTGGTGGGTTGGCCACGTGGAGTTTACCGGATTTTCTCCACGTCTGTAACGGGTCAGTTAATCTTCAAAAGATCTCTTATTCCCCGGGTACCAACGAATATAAAATACATAATTACTAACCACATTGCATAGCCATTCCGTCACATTTTACTACGGGGCACCATAGTCTAGCAGCTCTCGTCCAACACGATAAGACGAGAGAACAATTTTTTATACTGACCACTCGACGTTCTATTATCCAATCGGAAGTAATCGGGGAATATTTGAAGTGAAATAACGCGACTTCCCGAATAGTTAATCGGGGCTTTGTGCCCGTAAGCTTTCCGTATCTGATCTCGGCTTTCATCTAATTCCGTCCCCTAACTAACTAAAATTAAGGACAGACAAGCGGACGGACGACAGTGAAAATTTATAGGTCTACAAGTTTTTCAAACTGCAGCCCAATGAGCACTCGTCACATAGACATTCCGAAAATAATCATATTGACTAAATTAATGCCGAATGCCATTATTTCGTAACTTTAATGATGATTCACACAAAAATGCAACTGTACGAATAAAATTCATATAATTTCATTATCGTGTTCGCGTGCCTGATAGAAGCTGTCTTTTGATTTCAAATCCTATAACCGCCATTGATATGGCCGAATTTAGGCTTTCCACGTCGTTTTCTACAGGTATTTTAACTCTGCATCCTTCGTATTCACACGCCAGTTTCTTGGCTTCGTTACTCAAACCTTCCGTTTCTCCTCCAATCAACAGAACGCATTTGTCGTCATACGTGACGTCCGTATAATTATATTGTGGAAGATGTACATATTTAAACTTTTGCAACTCATTTTTATCTTCGTACGTCTCGTCGATTATTAACTTTTCACCTTCTTTTACTTCGATAACTTTTTCGCTAGAGAAATTCTGAAAAAAATTTTCTCTCTGAACATCGTCTCGATTATCTGCCAGATATACTTTGGCATTTTCGGGAATATAAGTATTTACAATATTCCAACAGACGTTGTTTACTATGGGCACTCGGAAATGCGCTCCACACCCGCTTCTTAAAACTTTGGGATCCCAAACGTCAACGCAACCTGGAAAAAATATTTTAAAATGCAAATGCTGTATATTATTGAAATATTTCAATTTATACAGCCTACATTATAATACAGTAAATGAAAATACTCAAATTTCTTATTCAGAAACGAGCAATTATTGTGACAGCTTTACAATGCCGAGTTGCAATTTTTCGTTATAATGCTCTCAATTTACTAGTGTCTTTCCCCTGTACGTCATACTTTTCCTGTTAACAATGGAGTCATGCCGGTCATCTATATATATTAATATAAACATCCCAAAGCCCTACGTATTAATACTAAACCAAACGATCGCCGTAATTAATAGGAATATTTTTGAACTGAAATAACGTAACTTCCGGTTTCGACCGAAAGTTTGTATATAGTCAAATCTGGGCCTACTGCCCCTACGGTTTCCAAATCTGGTCTCGGCTTTCATCTACCTAACTCCGTTCTCGAGATTAAGGAACCACAGTGGGAATTTACAGGTCTACAATTTTTCAAGTTCCAGCCCAATAACAGTGAAATATAGCATACTGCTTAAGTTAATGTTTTCTGGTAATAGTTCATTCTCTAAATGGAATAGTCTATGCATGTTTAATTGGATCCAATGGCTGCCACACAATGCAGAAATATAAGGAAACAGCCACTGTATCCTCAGTTTTTGGCTGACAAAATGTACTTTGTCAGTTGACCATGATTCTGAACTTACTCAATTTTTGACAATCTGACATTACTTACATTTTAAATATACAAGCAATTATAAATCTAACTATAAATGTAATTTTTAATCAGGGCTGTGGAGTCGCGTAAAAATCTAACGACTCCGACTCCGACTTTTCCTTACCATCGAACTCCAACCAGGGGCGGACTTATTACCGGAGACCCAGAAATTCTGGTGTCATCACGTGACCTCAGAATAAAATCTTTAATAAACAGAGTTCTAATAAAGATAGAACGTAGAAACTTTTTATTCCAAAGCTAAAAGACTTCTCTAAGTAATGACACAGTCAATATATGAATGTGTATTCGATAATTTTTACTTTTTTGGCTGTTATATACAACAGAGAAAAAGTGTAGCGCTCAGTCGAACAATGTCCCCTCCCAAATTTTTACATTTTTGGATTCAGGACACCTTGAAATTTCGAGATATGCAAAAGATTCGAGTTTTTTTTTTATACGTGTGGATGTTAGACTGTGTGGGGGGCATGATTTTGTTCACCCTGTTTGAAGCCTAATAATTTTTGTGGTCAGAGTGGTCATGATCGGAGTCACATGGTTTAACACAGTAGTTAGTTATTAAGCGCCAAAGCGGTTGAACTAAATCATGTCCCCATACACGTTCTAACATCTTATGGGAGAACATCTTAACGGGTTTTACTGTACTATTATAAAATGACAAAAAGCTTACTTTGGGAATAGAGACGAGTTTCATTTTATTTTTAAAATTTTTAACGCTAATAACGTGTAAAATATTCATTAAGAGATATGACACGTGACCCCTTTTATGTCTACACCCTGTCGACCTTCAATTAAGAACAAAAATTTAATAGTATTAATGCCACTTTATACGCGAGCTACAGTGCCACATTTCGTTTCTTAAACTTCACCCATTCCGAGATAGTATTTAATATCTCAGAACAGAAAATAAAGAAATTAAACAAATTAGACGCCAATACACGCGCGCGCTAATTTTTCCCTTTTATTGACTTTTTGGGGGGTTCGGGAGGTCTCCAAACGTGTAGATTTGCAAAAAAAAAAAAAAACTTGGAGGGTCAAATTTGACACGATTCCAATACTTTTCCGTTTTATATACATAACAAGTTGGAAAGTAAAAAGGAGTCGGAGTCGGTGGATTTTTTGACGACTCCGACTAAAACACCAAAACTCCAGGACTCTGACTCCACAGCCCTGGTTTTAATTTTCTTAAAATATCTTGATTAATTAGAAACTAGTCACAATGAAAAGTCTATTACATAATTATTCACAACCTCTTAGTAAATTATCCATAAAAATCATGTTTGAAAAATAAATGTTTGTTACAAAGTAACCCAATATGATTTTAAATTATTAAGTTTGTCAGTAATGCAGCCAGAAATTTAGCAAGGGATTGCAACTAAAAAAAATTAAGAAATACTGTATCAATCAAATATAAATACTGTATTAATAATTATATGGAAGCACTGAATAAATCATAGCACAATATAATAATCTAGTATAATATTAATACCTCTTAAATAGCAAACAAATAATTAAAATGATTAGACATTGTTTCAGTTTCCTAAGAAATTTAGCACTTATGTTAATTAGCACTTTATATACATATCTTTATGTATATAAAGGAAAGACAATCCATTTAATCTGTTTTCTAAAGATGAATTTCGATGATAAATCTGTAAAAATCTTAATGTTGAAAATGACCTTTTGGCTGTCGCTGCTGTTGTAACTGGAATAGTGACTATAATCTTTAAACATTTGTATATACAGGTAACCTCCGTATAACACAGTAGTTACGTTCCAAAAAATTGCCGTGTTATGCGAATCCGTGTTATACGAAACAAAGAACTAATACGAAAAGGAGGGTTAGGTTCCAAAAATTAAAAAACATGCTAGTATATTTTCATAATTAAGATAAATATCTTCATTAAAATTTTTTTAAGTGATACATATTAATATAAATTAAACAATGTTTTCTTCGTCATCACTAAAAACACTATTAATTAACCGAGAGCGTTTTCTTTTTGGCAAGTTATCCTTATCCTCTGAGCATTTTTCTGCATTATCTTCAGATCCATGCTTTACCTTTTGCAAAATGTATGTAATTTTAGATTGCTTGCTTCTAGTTAAAAGATCTTTATAAATTTCCTTATATGGTGCTAAGCACTTATGAAGAATAAAGCAAGTATGGAATAAGGGAAAAACATTCGGCAACATCAGAAGCAGAAGCGTCGCGATCTGGCAACATTGAAACAAGTTTCGAGAAGGCCCACCTGTATCGACAGAAGGCGAAAAGAGAAAATTTGCATACTTAAGTACTAATAGTTCACGAAAATAATAATTTTCGTGAACTATTATTAGTTAAGTATGTAAAAATTTATTACATTTCCTGTTGTACGAGGGTTTTACCCAATTCTCGAACTGTGTCAGAGTGAATCCGTGCTATAAAAGTACCTTGTTATATGGGGGATGGTACCAATTCTCGAACCGTGTTAGAGCGAATCCGTGCTATAGAAGTGCCGTGTTATACGGGGGTTACCTATATTTTGGCCTAGACTAGATTGATCAGATAAGTCAATGCAATGCTTGGATGATCTGCCCAGAGGACTTTCTGGGAAACTGATCCCATTTAGGTTTTAGACACACGAAGTAAACCTGGAAAACTACACGTGACTAGCTCATTGGTCAGGCACAAACCCATGACCAACTACTAGTGTTAAGTAATTTTATTCACTAGGCCACTGGTGGGCTTGTATATATTTGGAAATATGTCTTGTAAGCATTTGATCAAATACTATAATGTACATTTTGGAAAATCTTTTTTGTTTCTTGAAATTTTTCCTTTACAATTTGTATTCTTCTATTTATACATTTAAATAGCAGTTCTCCAGATCTGTAGTGTATTTTTTAAACAAATATTTCAACTTTAATCCAAAGATCTGACCTAAACAGTGGCAATCTTGTCATCATTTTGGCCAAATATTTGGATAAAAATATTTAATATTTTGAAACCATCTGTTTTATGAATTTTTCATTCAAATGATTCAAGAATGACTCCAGAAATCAGATAAAAATAGTTATGTCATAATATTCTTCAGGTGAATTGTTTCAAATATTATGTCAGTACATTTGTTTTCCAACTATTCTGTGAATTGAATTCATTATACATTCACCATCATCAATTTCATTGAAAACATCTTCAAATTTTACATACATATAAATATATATATATATTTTTTAAAATAATAATCTGTGCTGCTTCTTGGGCAATGATTATGATTGAATTACTTTTGTTGTCAAGAACAATAAAATGAATTTTGATTTCCTTAAAGCATTTAGCCTTACACAAGTCCTTATCTCTTCAATTTCCAATAACTTCTAATAATCTAAACAGTGGTATGAAAAGCTCAACCATTACCATAACTGAATCAAGATGATCAACCCATTGAGTTTGACACATTTGTTTCAATGACAATCATTTTGGTGTGGGACATATTTCTGGAAATTTTTCTTGCAACACTGCAATTCTTTTTGATTTATTAGTGATATTATATATGTCTTCTATCACTGAAATGCAATTATTAATATCTTGAGCATCATTGGATTTATATATCGCCAAATTTAAACAATGTGAAATGCAATGAATGTAAATGACTACATTTCTTCATAATTAATTCTTCATAATTCTACAGGTCATTTCTTCATAATTATTGTTTACATCTCATGTTATGCACCCAGCATAGCTGCATCATCATCTTAACCTTGACCTCTTAAATATTGAACATCAAATTTAAAAAGATTAAGGTCAATATACACAGTCTTTATTTTAAAACTAGCTGCAAGTACCCACTTTGCTGGGTTTTTATTTGTTCGTACATTTATATGTAATATAGTTTTTTTTATATAAAAAATTGTTTCTATTCCTCTACATAATCATTCTCTGATTCAATGTGTTTCCCTATAATTTTCAAGTTGCTCTTCTGACTGATTATTTCTGTTTCGATATGATTTGAGACCGCAAAAATTCTTTCTTATGCTTTGGCATTGTTTTTTATATTTTTACTTTTCACACTTCACTATTCACTTTCTACTTTTTTCTGTTATTTGTACACTTTTACTTATGAAAAATCAACTGAAGTATGTGCGTCACACTTTGCCAAAAGCCATCCCCACTACTCACACATAACAGTCTTCGACCGTCATCCATTTTAACAGTCATAGATATAAAAATGGACATGTTTGTCCCTATATTTCACTCTGCAGACAAAACTACACATCACACATGAATGGTGTTTGTGTTTGGTAGTAGCCCCAAGTCTCCCATCGTGCACTATGATGGTTGCATCTCAATAGCTATAAGGGTATGGGAGATATGGGGTTGAAAGTGATTGACTTCTAAAATGTGTAACAATGGAAGTGTCAATAATGGAAGTGTAAACAATGGAAGTGTTAAGAGAAAGCAGCGTGCACGATTCACAGGCACAGATGTGGTTTTTTGCGTTTTTGCAAGAAATCAAACATATTTTTTGATCCATGTAAAAATTCTCTAATTTGTTTAGAAAAAGGGGACCTAATTCTTGCATTCTGTGAAAATGTGTAAGATTGGCTATAATGTAATCTTAATCTTAAATATTTTCGAATAATCGAAAATGTTTTGGATTAGTCGAGGACTGTTATGTGTGAGTAGTGGGGATGGCTTTTGGAGACGTGTAACACACATGCTTCAGTTGATTTTTCATTAGTAAAAGTGCATGAATAACAGAAAAAGTAGAAAGTGAAAAGTGAATAGTGAAGCGTGAAAAGTAAAAATATAAAAACAATGCCAAAGTGTAAGAATTTTTGCGGTCTCGAATCATATAGAAACAGAAATAATCAAACAGTAGAGCAACTTGAAAATTATAGGGAAACACATCGAATCAGAGAAAGCTTATGTAGTGGAAGATTAACAGTCTTTTATGTAAAAAAACTATATTACATATAAATGTACAAACAAATAAAAACCCAGCAAAACAGGTACTTGCAACTAGTTACTAATAAAAAAGCTCTCGTGTGTGTGGGTGAATTCCCTATAACTCTTACAATTTTTGTCCAATCCAGATAAAATTTTGGTTATATTCATTTTATGCTCTGATGGAAAATTATAGGCTACTTATTTTGCAGAAATATTAGCTATAGAATAAATGCTTTATTGATTTCAGATCTGTGGTTGCATTGGTCAGTGATTACGTGATGCTCATGCTCGACAATGAAATTTCCCTTAAATTGCATTTTTAAATATTTTGGCAAATGGAAAATTCTAAACTCACTTCATTAAATTTAAAATTTAAATTTTAAAAAATGTTAGCCTCATCGTGACACTTCTATAATAAATTTTTTTTTTTAATCTTTTCATAATGACTATGTCGCATTCTATCCAACCAGAAGCAATGATCTAACAAAACCATTATTTAGAAAGTGTTATCATTCATCTAATTAATGTATGTACAACTAATCTTTGTTTTATCAATATGGAATTAAAAAGACTCAGTATTTTATTAAAAAAAAAAAAAAAATGCCTAGTGGAAAGCATATGAGTAAAACTGGTCAGGTAAATTCTAGATCTAAAAGAATAAGGGACTCCTGAGGAACATGAAGCCCAATTTTAGCAACATCGAGTAAGAATGGCTTTGTCAAGGGCTGCAGAAACAGAAACAGCATCACATCAAGCTCGACTTGAGCTCTATTTATTCTTCGATCTCTACTTTCTCATAAAAATATTTTGTCATGCTTTGACGGGAGAATTTCTAGTTTCTGATATAAAAATAGAAACTAATAAGTTAATTCTAAAGTTAACCAAATATGTTTTCTCCTGATATTCAATTTATACAGATTCTAACATATTTATATAATTATTAAACTTAGAAACAGTTTTCATTATTTACCTTTCATTAAAATAATATTTTGGCATCCAATAGCTGCTCCACTTCTTAAGATAGTACCCAAATTTCCAGGATCTCTTACATTATCACATATTACAGTCAGAGGAATTTTTTTCTTATTTAAATAAACAATGTTTTTTTTATTTGGTTCTTTAAACACACCTACAAAACAACAATAAGTTTAATATTAAATCATTGTATGATCAAATAATTTATCAAAATTTTAAAACAGAATTATTAACATTTTCTATTCATTAAGTGTAAAGAAAAATTCTTTTTTTTCCCTATTTTTCACTTTTGTTTGGACTTAAATTAATATCTCTATATAATTTACACATTACAGCTATTGTTTTGTTTAAGTATTTGTAATAAATAGATTTAAGTACTAAAAAATAAAAATAAATATGATCTTTTACAATATATTTCACTGTTAACATAAAATATTGATATTTCAATACCCATCAGTCCAGGTGCTGTAGTTAGATCAGACCATAAACTCAGCTGTTTATAAAACACTTTCATTATTTTAACATGAGGAATTTTCTTAAAATGAATTCCATGAAGATTTTCTTCTTTGCTGAAAAATATTGTTTCAATCTCTGCTCCAGCAGTTATAGCATCATTTATTAATCTTTTGCCTTCTAACAGAATTTTACCAGCTTTCTCTCTTTGTTTACGAGACTTCAAAAGTGTCATGACTTTACTGTAAAAAAAAAAACAATGAAAATGTTGTATCAATATCTATAATTAATAATATTCATAGAAAAACTCTAGAGAAATCAGAACGTTTCTCTATAAATATTAATACTGTAGAACTCTGATTATCCAGGTCCTGATTAACTAAGGTTTCACATTATCTGAAGCAAATCTGTAAATGAATACACTACTTTTTTATAATTTATAAAAGCTTTACTGATGAATTGAATGCTTCTTTCTGCCCTATGGACACTAAAAGGGCTTTCTTTTTCCATGTCCAATGCAGGTTTATCCACACCCGCAACGAAGGTAACTGGATGGTAAGGGATGGAGCCCAACATATATGAGATAAACCATACAAAAAAATGAGAAAGTGACTGGCAGAACACCCATAGCAAAGAGAGAAGAAACCACTATAAGACAAACAACTCTAAAGAACTTTTTAAACATTTTAAATGATAACATACTATAAAATGATTTGTTTCTATTACCTGTTATCATTTACCTTCAATGTGAGACAAACCACCGGTACTAAATGTAATATAATACAAATTTTTATTCTTAAAAATATTGTATTAGCTGTATAATAAATTATGTAAAAAATGCTGTTCTTATGCAGGGAGATTCAACAGATCTTAGACAAATTTTAATTGTAAGTCAGGATTATAAAAACAAACCATTTTTACTTAGAAACATATAATTGTAAATGCCACCTGAATGTTCTAATAAACATATTGTATACTATTTCAACATCTGATTATTACCAATAAAATCATATTTATATTTTAAATACAGCTTGCAAATTGATTCAAGTCCAGTTGCATATTTATTTGATTTAAATATGAACATGATATTCATGAATTCTATTTCTGAATGAGGCTATTATTTGGATTACACAAAACTGTAACAATAAAAATGTTTTAAAAAAGTTCAGAAAAATCAATGATTTAAGATAAATTTTTTGAAATAAAATGTCTGATCACGATTTGATGGATGATTAGAGTTTTTTAAATTATGTTGAAAATATTGATAAAACTTCCAAAAATTCGTAGTTATCCTTTTTTACTTTCCCAACTTGTCATCCAAGGTGAATGTTAAAACAAGAACCAGTTTAAAAAATTATATACCTTTGTATTTTTTTATTTTTATGACAGTATTTGTTTTTAATCAAAACTTTGTTCTATGATGTACAATAACATACTGATGAGAATCGAAAGATCTAAATGCATTTATGAGAAAAATAAAGAAAATAACATAAAGTAATGGTTTTAAAGTCTTTTAAAATTGGTTTATTATTTTAACATTCATCTCAAACAAAAAGTTTGGAAAGTAAAAAGATTAACTGTGAATTTTTATCAAAGTTTATATATTTTTAACAGAATTTAAATAAATATCCAACTTTGGTAAACATGAAAAGATTAGAATAATTTTTCTTAATCATTTTTAATAGATTTAATACAATTAGAACTGTTTTATCTGATGATGAGATGTATTTGGTCTTAAAAATCTATTTTATACACCTTTATTTTCCCAGAATAATGTGTACTTTTATGTCAATATAACATCATTCCTATATTTTTCTGTAATGGGAAGATATAAACGATATCATATCAATATAATAGCGTAGATTAATTTTGTTACTTGAAGTATTTGTACATACTTTAATTCAAATAAGAAGCGTATAGTAGAGAGGAGCAAATAAATTCGTTCATGAATATGCAAAGGTCAATTCAATGGCAAATGAGACGTCAAAATAAACCTGGATTTCGTACATATATCGAACATCGTCACATAAAAACACACAAGATTAAATAAACTATAAAAAATTTACTACAATACACTTATATTAAAATTTCAATTTATATTTATATCAAAATGTGGTAGTAATTAATGCAAAGTGTGATTCAATTAATGCAAAGTTTCATTAATTCAAAAACACGTAATAAATATCCATAACTAATTCATCAGTGGTGTGCCATGATATTTGATGATAGGGAAGCTGTGTTTCTGTAAGAAACCAACTTCCAGGGACAATCAGTTAATTGCGCATCAGTGATGGTCTAAGCTCTCTAGGGTCCATTCGTATTTGTTTGTTCGATAAGCTAGTAAAAACCGTAGACTTCTCTAAATGTATTTTTAATAGATTATCTGACATACTTAATAAATAAACAAGTTCAATATAATTACCTCTGTTATTAGATTCAATAGATTCCCTATGTTCTCTAAATGCCAATTCTTGCTTTGATAAAAAACATATAACATCTATTAATTTAGATATAATATATCTATTAGCCATAACTATCTCGTTATAATTTTCAATATTTATATTATATTATTTACTAATGTTAATAGATTGTCCATCATTTTTTTTCTAACTAATTCGTTTTACGACCAGGTGGTGTCCACAGAAATTTCCAAAATTTACAACTTTTAACTCACTCTCGTTGAACTGGAAAAATTTCTGTCTTTATTACATTTAATATTAAGAAGAAATCAGTCCCCACTGTACTCGGCTAGGGAGTGGTTTGGTTTTAAGCTTTTAAGTAAAATTCTGACTCTCAGCAGGGTTTTATTTATGTCCCTAATTCCATAACCTCTTAATTATTTAACTACTTCTTAAGTAGAAATAAGTTGAAACTGGTTACTTTGTACTTGAATATTTGTAGTCTTGCGAAAGAAGTGGAAAGACAAATTTTTACGACAATGATACATAAATCGTAAATTTAAGAAATATAAATTCTAGAGCTTTTTTTGTACCTCGTGCATCGCATTTATTAAATTTAGTTATAAATGAACTATCATAAAAACATACCAGTAAACTCCAATCAATTGGGTTAAGCTTAAGAATGGGGTTGTGACCCATAGTTTAAGAAGGCTTAAACTATGGGTCACAACCCCATTTGGGGTCGCTTAGCAAAATCTTGGGGTTGCAAGATTTTAATGCAAAATATTGAAAATAATTTGTGAGAGTTTGAAAATGACACGCTTTGTGTCACTTCTGGTGCAGCGAGACAACAATTCAGCAATGCTGTAGTGTGAACTAGTGTAATGTTGTCGCTTTTCAGTGTATTCAGTTGTCGCTTTTCAGTGTATTCAGTTGTCTCTGTTCCATTGTAATACAACAGTAAACTGTGGTAGTACACCTTTATTGTTTTTGAAAATTTGTATATATCTTTATTTTAGATTTTTTCAGGTCACAAAAAAATTCACAATCATAAATGGGGTCGTGAATATAAAAAGTTTAAGAAGCTCTGGGTTAAGTTATAAATCTACTCGTGATTCACATAATGGGGCAAGGGTGGCTAACAGTCCAAAATCGGTCTTGGATAGACTCATTGGAAGCATTTTGGTGTGTAGCTTCCACCAGCTAAACCACCCGAGGCTGGTGCTCCATAAAGCGCATGCGCAAATGCATATAATCTGGCTGCCTTACACCATTCAAATATTTTTGCCACGAAAGCTGTCCCGTATTCGACAATATAGAGTTTCCATTGGGGATACGCATATACGAATTTATATTTGAATATACATTAGCAATCTTATCACTTTTCTCTCATGTAGTATAGAAATTTGTAATAAGATACATAATGCAGTTATAATAAAATATAAATTTTAATTAATTCAAAGTACATTCAAATATGAAAATAATCACACAATGTATTTATATTTTAGAAAATACAAGGGAAGCAGCACTTTCACTGCTTCCAAGGATGGCATGGCACACCATTGGTGAATATTTAAATTAAATCAAATGTATGCCTGATGAAAGTCGTTACGAAGGGCATGCGCATTTCGTGTGTAGATAATGGCCATTAAAGGTCAGCATTCATAAGGGCCTGCCAGGCAGCCAATAAATTTAGCTCATGTTTTTAGTTGATGAACGTGGCATTGTGGCTTGCTCTATAAATAGATATGGCCTCCAACCATCTTGTGCCAACCATCTCTATAAATAGATATGGCCTCCAACCATTATGTGTTCAGGGTGAGGCATAGTTAGGATGACCTTGGTTAAATGCAGTCTCAGGGTCAGAAGCATAAATAGCAAGGGCCATGTTGTGTCTCCCATGCTGAAGGTCTGCAAGGTGTTCACATACTCTGGTTGCCAAGGATCATTTGGTAGATCCGATATAAATAAGGTCCCTGTCACATCTGTTGTCCTTTAGAGGGACGAAGTAAATCCCAGGGAGTCTGTTATGGTTGGGAGTGTCTTTAACATTGCGGAGTATGTCAAAGATCATCAGACATCTCCTGTATGTTATCTGCATGTGGTGTTTGTTGGCAATTTCAGTGTACAATGATTTAATGTAGGGATTAAATGTGACAGGGACAAGAGTTTTACCATCTGGTCCATTGTTGGTGGTTGCATGAGCAGCGGAGGCCTGCAGTGAGTGGTGGTAATGATCAATCAAATAATGGGTCAAATTAGGGTAGCCATGCTTGGTTGCAATCCTCTTAATGTGGGTTAATTCAGTGGCTAGAGCTTGTGGGGTGGACGAGTGAGAACATGCCCTCTTAATTAACGCATTAAATGCCACTGTCTTGTAGGGGAATGGGTCACAGATTTAGAATGATGATGTTTATGCTTATATCTATTTATAGAGTAAGCCACAATGCCACATGCATCAATCAAAAACATGATCTAAAATTACTGGTTGCTTGGCAGGCCCTTATGGGCATCAACCTTTAACGGCCATTATCTACGCATAAAATGTGCATGCCCTTTGTAACGACTTTCGTCAGGCATACGCTTGATTTAATTTGAATATTCATGTTCAAATTTTGTGTTCCATTAGTTATTTGGTATATTTCACCTGAAGAAGAACTATTCAACAGTTCAAAAATGTTAGTGATAAACTTTATTATTCACAGAACGCACCAGTAACAGGTTCCAGACAAGGTGTTGAGTTTCTATGTTATTGGTATATATCTGCTAGTCAGGAGAAANACATAATGCAGTTATAATAAAATATAAATTTTAATTAATTTAAAGTACGTTAAAATATGAAAATAATTGCACAATATGTATTTATATTTTAGAAAATACAAGGGAAGCGGCGCTTCCACCGCTTCCAATGACGGCACGCCACTGTAATTCATCTTAAAAGTTATGAGCTACTTTGAAAATTCTTACTTTATTAATAATTACCCAAAATAAATATATAATAAACGGCTTTAATTTATTAAATGTTAAAGAATTCAAATACATACACAAACGGTTGAGAATTATCTCCTAGTTTCTCATAAGGCGGTATTTCAGCTTCCACCATTTCTCTAGTTCTTTTGCTTCGATTCTTTAGCTCTATTTCTCGTTTCAGTTTAGCCATAACTTCACTTTTTGTTAACGGTTCAACACTTTCTTTCGAACCGTCTTCCGTAATAACGTCGATGGGTTTCCTTCTAAGTCCTTTACGATAACTTCGTTCACTTTCAAAACAATATTTTGAAATCGAAGGTAACCGTCGACTAATGCTTGTCGTTCTCCAAGACAACATTTTGGAAAAATAATGTTGGTTTATCTTCTATTCAAAAAGTATTACTACTTTCATCAACACATAAAAGCGACAATAAGAATTAATAATATTAATAACATTTAAATTATGCCCAACAGAAAACGAGTTTACAAATCTCCTTCATTAACTTTCGATTAGACGATGAAGTTGACAATAGAATGCATTCCGGTCGGTAATTAGTAATGGTATGTAATTATACATTATATTATATACGTAAAGAAGATGTAAACAAAATAATATACTTCACTCATCTTCGCACAGACTGATCTACTTGTACGATTCGACTAATCAAAAGAAAAACAAAATAATTACAATGTTATCACATGCTCGACAAAGGACGCCGCCATATTTAATTTTGCCGGGTGTTGCCAGCCATAGCGGTCGTGCCGTTTGTAGACATTTTTTTTTTCTTCTTCTTCTTTTTCCAAAGTGTTTATATGGAGATTTTAGCTCAATATTGGCTCTCTCTCCGAATTACCAACTCTCCGGTTCCTCTACTTAAATCGCCTTGTTCGTGTTATGTATTCTTCCAACGCCGCCACTAGATGGCGGGGCTTGATCGGTGTCATCGGCGCATAGATCGCCCGAAGTGTGCTATTAGTGGTTAGTTTTTCCCCCAGGGCAGTGCCCAGGTCTCTGCGAGCTATGTCATATTTCGGGCATTCAAGCCAGTAGTGCGCCACCGTTTCCCTCTCCATACAGTGAGGGCATTGAGGCGTGTCGTGTAGCCGTCTGGAGTGCAGAAAAGCATTCAAAGGGGCCGTTTCCGTACGCAGGCGCGCAAGAACCGTCTCCATGCTCCTGTTTGACGAGTAATGATAGTACCAGTTTTCGAACGGACGAAGGTATTCCCTTCCCTTCCTCCTCAAGTCTGACGACCAAAAATCCGCTAGCCGACGGTTTGTAGACATTTGCCAACCACCGTGAAAGAAAAGGGTGGCGACGCCCGTAATATCGACAGTATCGTGATGGCGGGATCTATAATTTTAAAATATGCGCTTTTTAGAGACAAAATTTAAAAGAAGGGTTCCGATGGCATTCAAAGTAGCTACGAAAAATCTCGAGACCGACATACCACTTACATTACCGTGTGAGTATATATCCACGTGCGCTTTCACAACTTATAAATTTTCATTCATAAAATCACATAATGGACTCTGAAACAGAACCAGGCCCGCTCTAGGGGGCGCCATTTTGGCTGTATGAGAAAAATATTATTGCGATAAAAACTCAATTAATAGAATTATTTCACGTATCGATTTTTTCGTTCTCTAAAAATTTACAGCTCGTATCGCATTTATATTAATTACGTCTAAAAGCTAAAAATATTTACACTTATTGAAAAATTAACGCAGAATTTGTAAAGGACGATGCTCGAACTTGTTTGAACACGCATATACAGAATATGCGTGTTCAAACTGTACAGAATTCTGTACAGAACTGAACAGAATAGCATTAGCACGCATTTGGAAAAGGAAGCCGAAAGGAAAAGACAAGCTGGCGCGTTAAAAAATTGTATCCAGAGTTGTACCAAAACAACTCTGGAGACAATTTGCACTATTGGGTGTTTACTGTCATATACAGTACTATACAAAGTTAGATCTAATTACATTTAATATATGTAGCAAAGTTAATTAGGTGTAAGAATTTATAATGCATTTTAACTGATGGTGATTCTGTTGACTTAAATGGGGTAGAATTAGCGGAGGAAATTTCAGCAGTATCTGCGCTTTTGGGCAGAAAAAGAAAGCCTATGTAATCTACTGAGCTTAATTACAAAGTTAAATTTTGCCTCAAATCTTACTATTGCTTTAAGAATATTGCTAACGATACCAATAACTGTAGCGAGTGGCGAAAGGAGTTTCTCTAACAAGTTAGTGAAATTCATTTCGTGAACTTGAATATCATCATTAAGGCCATCGTAAGCATTTTTATTCCACTTTTATCAAGTAAACTTGGAGACATAGTAAGTATCTCTAATTATTTATTAATTCGCATTAAATGTTTATATTTTTTATTCCTCTTACAAATATAAACTTTTACAACGCGAGTAGAATCGAATTTGGAGAAACTCAACAATAACTTAAGAACTTGAGTTTATTATTTTGTTGGGAATAATAAAGTAACAAGACATAATTTTATAACACAGAAATAAGTTAGAGAATAAAAACTTTTATCATTTTCTGTATATTTTTATGTTCTTTTAATGTTTTATAAATAAATAATTGTACCCAGCAACATATTTGCTGTAAAATCGGTTGCTAAATTATAAATAGTGAACAGAAATAAGCGAATATATTTATTAATAAAAGACATAAAATTACTTCGTATACAACACTTTTATACGTAAGTAATTTCAGAGTTAGGTGTTTATTTTTGCATGCAAATTAAGTCGGTAACATTTAATCGAACAGTTTATCGTTTTTTTCTTGCCTAATTGTAAGTGCTGTTCTGTACATATTACACACCCTTTGTTAGAAAAAAGCAACGTCTACCCACCGAACCGAAATTTCATTTATAGTAATCATTCCATTAATATAAAATAAAGAAAGTAATAGCAAACAAATAAAAGAAGCAAAATTAAAAATATTTTAGGTTTAACTATGTTAAATGAAATAAATTATTAAATAAATGCAATATGATAAATTTGTATTAAATAAGCTTAACTCGATGTAAAAAACGTAAATGTTACTCGTCTACCTTAACGAACTGGAAACAGATTTCGTCTGTACGTATTTTCTATATAATAAAGATAAAAATATTGTTAAATATATTATAAATTTCATAACAGTATATACAGTAGACTCCCTATAACACTGTTGATAATTCCGTATTATATGAATTCCATGTTGTACGAGTCACTTAGATTTTACAAATACGTGAGCCGTTCACAGCCCGGCACGCGTATTTACGCGTGCCGGGCTGTGAACGGCTGGGAGATAGGGGGAAATAGAGGGGTGAATGTGTCGTATCTCGAGTAGTGTAGGCTCGATGAAAATTTTACTCCTTATTAATGTTTACGCCTTTTTATGAAACTCATCACAAACCTCAAAATTAAGCCTTTTCCATGTTATAATAAATGATAACGATGACGTTTTTTAAATTAAATTCTCTTAAAAGATAGTGTCATACAAAATGTTATGATTAATAATATAAAAGTTATTTTTTAAGTAAACACTTATAACAGCCTAGAAAGTTGCGCAACTAACTACTGCATTTGTTTATTGTTCGATACGATAGAATTTATTTTGAAATTTGTTTTGCTTATTAGTTTTAACAATACGCTAAGGCAATTTAAAGGAAGTAAATGTAAAACTGCACTCATTAAATGAGGCGATATGTGACATTTATTTACTCAAACACGAGCATAATTTTCATCAAATAACGTCCTCTTAAATTAAATGTAACTTTACACATATTAACGCGACATATTTTTTCATAAAAAAAAAACTTCAATTTGGAATGAATTTCATTCCGTTTGGCTTTTCTATTCGATGTTTTACGAGAGAAACAAATTTAATTAATTATAATTTATTTGAAATTACAGGTACATCTATTATTCCGATACGTCAACGGAGTGCACCGCACACGGGCGACACGTCCAGGGGACGGAAAATCGAGCGATGGATCACGTAATATTCAAAGTCATTGTGGTAATACTCATCCCACCTATAACTTAAGAAATGTCTTCGCACGGAGAAAAAAATCCGACCGGCGCGCAATTACCATTTTCTTATTTAGATTATAGCGTTAACAGCGCCTCTATTGGCATTTATCAGAACTAAGATGCAATACGAAACGTCTGTCGGCAGGTTAATTATTCTAAGACCTTGGGTCGAACCCTCCGGCGGCGCCCGAAAGCCAAGTACCCGTAGTGGTGCTGTAGGACAGAAGTCGACAGGACTGGCGAAATTAGGGAATTCCCACAGAGCTTCCTTCTCAATTTGCATATTTCGTCACACGTCTTCACCGAATGCCCTGAATCGAAATTACCGGAAACGCCGCCATTTTGGCATCATAGGTAACTAACGTATACGGTATATTTATTATACTATTATCAAGTATTCATTATTTACATCCGTTCTATTAAAAAAATTAGTTTTTATTGCAACTTAATAACGTAACTGTATGATGTTTGATTTTCGTGCGAGTCTTTTCCTCTCAAATGAAAATTGTTGTAATCAAAACTATAAATAGTTTATATAAGCGGGATTAATTTGTTTTAAGTAAAATGTTAATAATTTCCTTGTGTGGTTTCAAAAACATATTCGAATAATAAATATACAGTGGGTGATCGGTTAACGAACGTAATCCGTTCCAAGACTTTGTTCGTTATCCGAATTGTTCGTTAACCGATTATCTATTTACCATAGGTTTTAATGGGAATTTAATTAATTCGTTCCGGAGACCCCCAAAAATAAAAAAAATATGTACTTTCTTAGTACGTTTATTTATATGTAATAATAAAAATACATACGTACACAGTCTCGCTTTTTTATTGGTCATGTTTTTTTCCGTTTGAAAGGGTTAAAGAATCTGTCTAACGTCGATCGCTTTTCTCTCTTCTTCGGGATTTTTCGTAAGTAATTAATAGCCTTGCAATTGTAGAAATCCCCAAGCTTCAACCCGGTTTGGATGCCGTTCTAAGACCGTTGTTCCGACATCCTCCCACTTCTTCGAAGGATCTTTAATGATATCGGCATTAATTCTCTTTTTCGGAAGAAAACATACCTCTCCGAGTTTCTCGGTGTTCTTCATTGGAGAGTTCTTGGCGTTCTTGTCGTTGGATCCGTTTCGGGTTCCATTACGAACTCTTCGATGTTCTTTATTTCTCAGATGTGATTTTTGTTACTCCTTTAGTTGCTCGAGTCTTCTCGATTATACAGTATTTTTCTTAAAGAAGATTGAACTGCGGCCTACCGTAGACCCATTCACGCCAAACTGCCCAGCAACATTAGGTATCTTCCGCCCACTCTTTAGTAGTAGGTATGCCGTGGCGTTAAACTAAAACGCAGTTAAAAACAAAAAATCGCATCTAAAATAGTACAGTAGAAGCCGTTTTTCCGGTTAAGCCCTAATCCTCTCCCTCTCCCCCCGCGGGGGAATTTCGGAAAATCTCTTCTTAGTGCGCGTTTTCATGACGTACACTAACTGTGTACCAAATTTCACCTCTTTAGGTTCAGCGGTTTGCTCTGGGCGATGATGAATCAGTCAGTCAGTCAGTCAGGACAAGCAATTTTATATATATAGATTACTTTGTCCTGACTGACTGACTCACTGATTCATCATCGCCCAGAGCAAACCGCTTAACCTAAAGAGGTGAAATTTGGTACACAGTTA